GCCTCAGAATACAAGATATATATCACTACTATACACAATTATACGTTTGTAGAGCCCCTGCAGTACTGTGTTTTGCAGGTAATTAGATGTCATAATGTAGAGCCTAACCAAAAATATATGCATTCTGTCAGAGCCATTGCGAAGCTACTTGAACATGGGGCAGGCAAATATGATATATTTGTAGTATCAGTTATCTGAAAGTTGTCCCATGGTAGTTACTGCCAGCCAAACAGCATATTTTAGTAGTTGGTGAAAACCCCTCATGCATCCTATGGTATTCACGGTCAGCCAAGTAGTTTATTTAAGTAGTTGTCAAACACTCACAGCTATCCAAGCTGTAATTTATGGTAGTACAGGCTATCCAGATGGAGCACTACAGTAGTTAGGGCCAACCAAGTGTAATGTTCCTGCAGTATCAGTTTACCACAGGTCATTAAAAAGCAATTGACCTTGTAACCCAATACGCATTTTTTATGTCGGGCAGGAGCCTCAAAACCACTCGGGCATATCACGGATTACATAAAATTACGCTTTGGGAGACCTACGGAGATACCCCTTGGGAGAAAGAGGATTTTAATTATTGAAACATTAAGTATACCAGTATGACAATTTCCTATTTGAAAACAATTTTGCTTTGCTGTCAACATTTCTAAGACAATTAACATGATTTATTTTTTCTTGTATTCAACAGGTCCTGCTTGATAGATTCCCATTTATAAATGATGAGGATGCACAAAGGGAGTGGAAAACACTAATGCCAGCATTACACTGAGCATCACAATCACATGAGTCTATCATGAAAATGATTGCAACAGATATGATCCAAACTTGTCCCAATTTATCAAAGCTTGCCCAGATTGCATTGGTGATTCCAGTATCAACAGCTGGTAAATAACAATATTTGTGTGTTACTGCATATTAAGTATTATTTATTGCTTTCACAAAATGTATTCATGTATGCACATATGTAACACATGGATGCTAGAGTAAACTAGAATATGAATTACTCTAATGTATTTTTTTTTCCAGATTGTGAGAGAGGTTCCAGTGCATTAGCCAGTGCTCATTTCAACTGTATTTAAATCCATAAAAATCACTGACCTCTCATCAAAGGTCAGAATGCCCCGCCCACCCGGTTAAGTTAATATATGCCACGCCCACTTAGTCAGGGTCATATGTGTCACGCCCACTGGGTCAATTGTCATCTTGTCTGAAGTTGCGCCCTGTTTGATTTTCCAACCGTGGAGAACCCTGTAATGTTATTCTTTTAAGTTTTGCGTAGTGTTCAACCCATATGTATAGCATTACTGTATAGTGAAGCAAATTAGTAAACATTTCGCAATGGGTAATGATTGAGACATTCCAAATTCTATACACATCTACATACAGTGTTAGTTGGTTGAAATAATATATTGCGTTGATTTGTATACCGGTCCAGTTTCACTTTTTGTGACAGTCTTTCTGTGTTTGCACATGGATTGATCACATTTAAAATTTCATCTGTAGCATCATTCCCACTAGGATAATAGTTTGGGATGATCACCCCCCCCCCCCCAGTCTTTTTTAGGCTTCATTCTTGAATTGTGCATTTCACAAGCAAGCAATGAAAAAAAAATCTTACTATTGTGACTGTCATCTACGATTTTTTAATTACAATTTTTATTAAACCATTACCAAATAAACTGTTAATGACCCTTGGATAGTAAGGGCAACTAAGCCAGTCATAAGATTGGACCGGGGGATGGGACCTTGGGGAATTTTACAAGATATTCCAACCTCCAAGGGGAAAGAAAGCTCTTGTTGCGCAATTCATGTACTTTGCGTGTTCCGCTGTATTTAATAAAACCATTTAGAGCAGCATAACAAATAGGAACAGCAACTATAATAAGCCGCGACAGAGACTGCAAATTATATCTTTTTTAAAGACTGTCAAAATATTGAAAAACAAGCATTAATAATGCATAGTCCCTATATAGTATTAGCTGTAGTTGTTGTAAATGTTCAGTACAAGTAACATGTAGAAATGAAAGATCAATGTTATTTCAACACTAAAGCGGATTATTGATTGTGTTACTGTCAGTATAGCACCTATGTGGAAACTTTGAACTATGTCTTAAAGAGGGAATAGCGTGAAAAAAACAAACAGTTCCGAACATGTTACAGAATGATATTTTGTTTTTTTGACAAAATGGCCACCATTTCCATAAATTTGATCAAATGCAGTATACTACCTACACGTATGTCTTAGGTTTAACGCTGAATAATGGGAAACTGCATACATTGTGTCAAAGAGCAGCTTGGTGTTATACTTTTGTTAATAAACAATGGGGTTTAATTTCATACTACTGGATTATATAAAGTTATAAAATGGTAAATCAGTTAAGCTAATGTTTCAACATTTTCTAGTCAGAAGCTATAGAAGCTGAAGCTGCATTTATCAAGCAAGGGGGATTACTAGAGTACAGCAAGTCATTTTACTGAAGATGACATGCATAATATTTATTGACATTTAAATGACAAACAAATGAGGCTACTGACTGACTAATCAAGAAAGAAACCAACCGAACTGTTCCATCTTCACGCCTCTGATATTTTCGGTCCTTGTGTTTTTGGTAATCGATTGCAGCTAGAAGACATCGCCCAACATAACCATTGTAAACAAAAAGTATTTATTTATTAGCTAATCTGGGATTAAGATGAACGACTTACGAAAGATTATTGCATACTCCTTGTATGTATGTTGAAATACTGTAAAATACTTTATTTTCGCTTGGAATTAATTTTTCCTTTTTATGCTGAAGGAATGATTCGGTAAGAATACAATTGAAACCACACAATGACTCCCATGTACATTATTTTCGAGTTCGCAATGTACTCGATTTTTTCGAGTTTTTGTATTGCTACAGTTAGAGATAGGACACATAATCAAATAAGCCAATATA